TGCGGATGGATAAAATTGTAATATGGCAGGATCATGCTGGGCATTCGCGGCGGTGGCGGCGATCGAAGGCATGAACAAGATTAGGACAGGGGAGCTGGTGTCGCTGTCCGAGCAGGTACTCGTGGATTGCGACACACGGAGCGGCGGCTGCGGCGGCGGCCACTCAGACTCGGCTATGGCCCTCGTGGCCGCCCGTGGTGGCATCACGTCGGAGGAGAGGTACCCATACGCCGGATTCCAGGGAAAGTGCGACATGGACAAGCTCCTCTTCGACCACCAGGCGTCCCTCAAGGGCTTCAAGGCCGTGCCACCCAACAACGAAGGTCAGCTGGCGATTGCCGTGGCCATGCAGCCCGTGACGGTCTACATTGACGCCAGCGGTTTTGAGTTCCAGTTCTACTCCGGCGGCATCTACCGTGGCCCCTGCTCCGCCAATGTGAACCACGCCGTCACCATCGTTGGCTACTGCGAGGGTCCCGGCGAGGGAAACAAGTACTGGATTGCCAAGAACTCGTGGAGCAACGACTGGGGTGAACAAGGATATGTCTACCTCGCAAAGGACGTGCCCTCGTCCACGGGCACATGTGGCCTCGCCACCTCGCCCTTCTACCCCACGGCTTGACCACAGGCAGCACTATGTGTGATATCTAAGGAATTGCTTCCGTTTCGTTGTGATAATGCTAAATTATTATTTTGATTATACTTCCCTTTAATTTGATCAATAATAGGTAGACCGTGCGTGCAATATATCATGGCCTGAGTAATAAAGTTTCGAGTGAATTACACTTTTTACAAGTTAATTGTGCAATTTTTTGTGACACGTATTTACCGATTTAGCAGATGTTGCATCGAAATGTCCCATCTAAAAAACATTGTACCAGATTTTACTCCATTTTAGCATTTCGCCTATTATTAGACATGACCCGCATGTTAGGTAGGTACTTTAACAACAGTGTGTAAACATCTCCGGACAGGATGGACTATCATGTTTAGCCTTCTCTTCTCCATGTATTCCACTTCTCGCCATACTTATGGTATCCTCTAACGGTGATCATCGCCGCACGCATTTTACAATCGACACCCATGAGAGAAACATGGTACAATGTTTTAAAATAGGGTAATGTAGACGAATGCTCATGAAATGGGTTAACTGGTTCTGCGAATGTACAAATTGGAGGTAAAAAGTGAAGCTCAGTCTGAATTTACAGATAACATGTTGGGTACTATCATGCTCGTGTGTTCTCTTCTTTGTTTCTACTTCTCTGTGAGGATTATTTTTCTAAAATCAAATTTGCATGTGCAATGAGCATTTTTACGGTACCGTTAAAAACATATGAAACCTCCATTTGTTAGATTGTGATGGCTGAATATTAGACGTAGATATATAGGATTGCCACCTCTAAAATCTGTGGGGTACATTTTGAAGTCGTAATCAAGACAAAATTACTGTGCGGTCAGATCATCTCAATTGTGCTCCTGTTATTATGTACGCATACCCCCATATTTTGTTCGTTTCTGGACGTCTAAACACAAGATCTGAACGAATCGGGGCGGATGTCCCCCAAGTGTACCCCCAAATGGATTACTATTTCCGCGACCAATTAAGCATCTAATAGCGAATATTGCAAAGTAACATAGAACAGGAAAATGTATACTAGTAGTCCTTGCATCTGAAACTTTTCTCATTTATCCTATAGCAATTTTATCAGTAAATCCATCCACATCTCTAGGATGTGGTTCCTCAATGCTGCCCACAAAGGGCAACTTGCAAACCAAACAAAAATCATAGAGTGACATCTCCTTAACCTCATCATATAAGTAAAACTCCACTGAAGGTGGTGATTTTCTAGCATGGAAATAAAAGTTTTGCATGAAAATATTAGTGAGTAGGAGATACTGTTTACACTGGTCGTGGAGGAAGTCGGTGATGCCTGCATTCTCAGCCAAATAATAAAAGTCGTCGTAAATTCTGGCGGCTCTCAAAAATGCATCACAAGGCCATTCGCACGACCGAACCTCCACAACGCGAGGAAGATTGTATTTGGGCTTTTTATTCTCCTCATTCTGCTTATCATTCGAGCTTCGGCTCGAGGAGCCCCGCAGCAATCACTTCATCATTTTTGTTCTCTGAGAAAATTCTGAAATTTTTAGTGACTCAAAATAGAAGTGAACCAGACTCAACAAAATTGATAGCAACTACTCCCACAAAAACTAATTGGACCATTGAAGGAGTCACATACCGAAGAACAATCTCCCAAAGCAGTTTTGTGAATGCAGCTTTGAGCAAGGAGATCGAAAATGGCAGCAAACTGAGCTAGAACACGAGTTTGAGCTACAGGATGATTTTTTGGAGGAAGACGAAGTGTGTGGGTGCTCGAATAAGTGGAGAGGGGCCACGTGGGGTCCACGAGGCAGGGGGCGCGCCCGAGGGGTGTGGGCGCGCCCTGTGCCCTTGTGGCCAAATGGTGGGTACCCCTGGTGTGTTCTAAGTGCCAGAAATTCTTAAATATTCTATAAAAAATCATACTTCATTTTCAGGGCATTTAGAGAACTTTTATTTTCACGGTATTTTTTATTGCAAGGATAATTCAAAAAACAGACAGAAAATACTATTTTCACTTTATTTAATCTAAATAACAGAAAGTAAAATGATGGTACAGAGAGTTTTGCTTTCTAATTTCATCCATCTCATGCTCATCAAAAGGAATCCACTAACAAGGTTGATCAAGTCTTGTTAACAAACTACTTCTGAATAACATGTAACCAGAGAATTTCCGGATACCACTAGGTTACCTCAACGGGGATATGCATGTCCCCAATATTAAGAATATCATATTTCTTTTTTACAGTAGGAAGAGGTAATTCAAAACCTCTAATAGTAATCATTGAAAAATTTCCAATAGAATTGATACTATGAACTTGAGGTTGTTTCTTCAGACAGTGTATCGTATGCTCATTATCATTAACATGAAAGGTGACACTGCCTTTGTTGCAATCAATAATAGCCCCTACAGTATTAAAAAAGGGTCTACCAAGGATAATCGACATACTGTCGTCCTCGGAAATATTAAGAATAACAAAGTCCATTAAAATAGTAACGTTTGCAACCACAACAGGCACATCCTCACAAATACCAACGGGTATAGCGGTTGATTTATCGGCCATTTGCAAAGATATTTCAGTAGGTGTCAACTTATTCAAATCAAGTCTACGATATAAGGAGAGAGGCATAACATTGACACCGGCTCCAAGATCACATAAAGTAGTTTTAACATAGTTTCTTTTAAAGGAGCATGGTATAGTTGGTACTCTTGGATCTCCAAGTTTCTTTAGTATTTCACCCTTAAAAGTATAATTAGCAAGCATGGTGGGAATTTCAGCTTCCAGTATCTTCCTTTTATTTGTAACAATATCTTTCATATACTTAGCATAAGGATTCATTTTAAGCATGTCTGTCAAATGCATACGCAAAAAGATAGGTCTAATCATTTCAGCAAAGCACTCAAAATCCTCATCATCCTTTTTTCATGGATGGCTTAGGAGGAAAAGGCATGGGTTTGTGAACCCATGGTTCTCTTTCTTTACCATGCTTCCTAGCAAAGAAGTCTCTCTTATCATATCGTTGATTCTTTGATTGTGGGTTATCAAGATCAACATCAGGTTCAATCTCTACATCATTGTTATTGCTAGGTTGAGCATCAACATGAACATCATCATTAACATTATCACTAGGTTCATGTTCATTACCAAATTGTGTTTCAGCATCAGAAATAGAAATATCATTGGGATTTTTAGGTGTATCTATAACAGGTTCACTAGAAGCATGCAAAGTCCTATCAATTTTCCTTTTCTTTTCTTAGAATGACTAGGTGCATCAACTTAGTTCTCTGAGAATCTTGCTCAACTCTCTTAGGATGGCCCTCAGTATACAAAGGTTCCTGGGTCATTTTACCACCTCTAGTCATAACTCTAACATCATTATCATTGTTCTTATTATTTAATTCATTGAGCAAATCATCTTGTTCTTTAAGTACTTGTTCTACTTGAGTGGTAACCATGGATGCATGTTTACTAATAAGCTTAAGGTCACCTTTAACTCTAGACATATAATCACTCAAGTGTTCAACCATATAAGCATTACGTTTCAATTGTCTACCAACATAAGCATTGAAGTTTTCTTGTTTAACAATAAAATTATCAAACTCATCCAGGCATTGACTAGCAGACTTATTACGAGGAATATCACCTTCATCAAATCTATAGAGATAATTTGCCTTTACTACCTGTGTCGGGTTATTAAGACCATGTATTTCTTCAATAGGTGGCAAATTCTTAACATCTTCAACTTTAATACCTTTTACTTTCATAGATTTCTTTACCTCTTGCATATCTTTAGGACTGAGAAATAGTATACCCCTTTTCTTCGGAGTTGGCTTAGGACTTTGTTCAGGAAGTGTCCAATTATTATCATTACTCAATATATTATTCAATAGAAATTCAGCTTGCTCAACAGTTCTTTCCCTGAAAACACAACCGGCACAACTATCTAGGTGGTGTCTGGAAGCATCGGTTAGTCCATTATAAAATATATCAAGTATTTCATTTTTCTTCAGAGGATGATCAGCAAAAGCATTAAGTAATCGGAGAAGCCTCCCCCAAGCTTGTGGGAGACTCTCTTCTCCAATTTGCTCAAAATTATATATTTCCCTTAAGGCAGCTTGTTTCTTATGGGCGGGAAAATATTTTGCAGAGAAGTAATAAATCATATCCTAGGGACTATGCACACAACCAGGAGCAAGAGAATTAAATCATATCTTAGCATCACCCTTTAATGAGAACTGAAATAATTTAAGGATATACTAATGGCGAATTATTACCTCATGGGTAAATAGGGTGGCTATATCATTCAATTTAGTAAGATGTGCCACAACAGTTTCAGATTCATAGCCATAAAAAGGATCAGATTCAACCAAAGTAATTAACTCAGGATTGAAAGAGAATTCATAATCCTTATAAGTAACACATATATGTGAAGTAGCAAAAGCAGGGTCATATTTCATTTTAGCATTAAGAGACTTTTCTTTCAGCTTAGCTAACAGTTTCTTAAGATCATATATATCTGTGCAAGCAAAAAGGTCTCTAGAAGTTTCTTCATTCATAACATAACCCTCAGGCACAACAAACAATTCGTATCTAGGGGGAGAATCTTCATCATCACTTTCATCAATATTATAAGTATCAATAATTTCATTCTATCTAACCCTAGAAAGTTGTTCATCAAGAAATTCACCTAATGGCACAATATTATCAAGCAGAGAAGAAGTTGAAGGAAATATGCCCTAGAGGCAATAATAAAGTTATTATTTATTTCCTTATTTAATGATGTATGTTTATTATTCATGGTAGAATTGTATTAATCGGAAACATAATACATGTGTGAATACATAGACAAACAAAGTGTCACTAGTGTGCCTCTACTTGACTAGCTTGTTGATCAAAGATGGTTATGTTTCCTGACCATAGACATGTGTTGTCATTTGATTAATGGGATCACATCATTAGGAGAATGATGTGATTGACATGACCCATTCCGTTAGCTTAGCACACGATCGTTTAGTATGTTGCTATTGCTTTCTTCATGACT